AATAAAAAGTGGGGGAGGGGATGGGGACTGTTTGAAAAAATGTGCTTTAACTTCTAAAGAGTGCAGCCATCTTTTATGTTTTTTCAGAGGGCAAAATGCACTGGCATTTTATTGATCAATGTATTTTTCCTTGTTATCTCATTTTTTTCACATTGAGCATAGTCATTTGGGTTTTTTGTTTCAGTTCTGTTTCCTTGCTGTGCAGTGCGAACTCTTGGCAGGGGAATCTGAGGAAGAGAGCTTTCCAAGGAGACCTTGCTCTGACATAATAACGTGGACTACGGACAGTGCACTCTGCCATAATACTATTTCACAGATGAACATAGCAATGAATCAAAATTTCACTAGCTTTTCCTCTTGAAAAGTAGGGATATTTACTTCAGGAGGCAGGCCAGGTAGTATCTGAATAAGCTGCGCCCTTTCTGCTTATAGGATTCTGTACTGATATGCTGTCAGCAGCTTGTCCCAAAAGATTTCATGCAGCAGAGGAGGTTTCTCCTCCTTTTTACGTTGATGTATGTTTCTTCTCATATGCATGGTGTCCAGTGAATTTGCAATATTAATTTTACCTTTTGCCTAGGTGAATTATCACAGTGTTGGAATGTGAATGCAGTATATCTTTGTGAAGCTACAATTTTTGGTCTACAGACAAAACCAGAGCTGACCTGATAATCAGAGTTTAAATCTGTCTTAATAGGGATGTTGTAGAGTGACAGAGTAGAGAGGGAAGCTTATCCTCTAGCAGACATTGAAATGCATCAACCACTGGAGCTGGTTTGAATGCAATCCCCTCTTGTAGACCCACAGGCAAAGCTAAGTGAGGAGATTCTCCTGTCTGTGACTGGTACTCTGTCTGCCTGTGCTGCTCTCACTTTTAGGCTGGATTGAAGCGACTTTTGCATTTTGGAAGGTTTGGTCAGTACAAAATGTGATTGCTGGCTCTCTCAATAATGTGTCATGGGGAGAGCACAGGCTGGGGAACCTGGAAATCATGGGAAACTCATAGTTTTCCTTATTTAAAGAAATTAACATTATAAAATGTGCAGTCTTTAACTCTGTAACAGAAACAGGAGAGAATAGTACAAGATAGAGTTAAATATGGTAATGCTTAAGCACACAGAAACAATGGGTTAGCTTATTAAAGGAAGAAGGGAAGCTCAAAACATAAAAATGAGATTCTTCTGGGTGAAAATCTTATAGACAAGCAACTTGTTTTGTTTTATGATTCCTTGGAAAGACAGTATTCTGCACAGCTGTTAGCCACGTAAGAAAGAAATACATATGTGCATATCCAAGTGTGAATATTCACTTACTAATCCAGTTTCCCCAAATACTTGGAATGAAGCTTTCAACAGTGCTGGTTAGATTAAAAAAAAAATCCCCTCGAGAAACTATGTTCCAAAACCTCAATTCTTACTAGGAAATGAAGCAACTTTCTTGTGACATAAAAATAATGATGCTTTGGGTAAAAGCTTTCAACCATATGTCCCACAGAAATAGCAGGCTTCAGAAAATTCTATCTTAAACAGTACATAGGCAATTTATCTTTGTACGTGGAAGCTGCACATCAGATGAAACATGTTCTTGCAAAACATCTTCAGTCTCCATCTTCAGGTAAGACCCTGCAAAACCAAGTTATAAAATATATCAAATGGTACAAACATGTGGGAAGGAAGACAATGTCCCTCACTACTTCTGCCGGTGGCACAGGAGCCCATGGTACAGACTGCTTGATCACAGGGTTTGTGGGGTCTTTTTAGCTGCTAAGCTGATTTATGGAGGTGAAAAAGTATGATTTGTGCACTTTATCAACCACATAAGCAAGTTTTAAAGTCACCACTTTGAGTATATTTAGTGTCTTTTCTGTTATACATTGGATGAAAATAGACATCTATTGCACAGACATACATTATCTTCTTTGAGAAGCCTAAAAAAGGAGGTGACATGATCTAATTGAAGTCAGTGAATAAATGAGCAAAATATATTTATCTGATGAGGCCAATGGTACCTTTTCATAAAGACTTTTAAATAGCCAGACTTTGTGTCACTGCACAATCTTTATGGTTGCAGGAGCTTAGCAAGAAGCTTAGAGAGCTTTGCCTGTTTTGCTGCTTTTCTCATCAGTGCCTTAATGCCTGCTGATTAAGGGCTCATAAATCTTTGCAATATTAGCAGAGGAGTCCATTTCCATAGCAAATGGCAACATTTCCCTGCCTCCTTCTAGCTGCTATCACATGCGTGTGGCGTGTACTTGGAGGTATCATTGTCACGCTCATGCCATATATTCTGAACAATGAATGCTCTCTTCCTGGTAACCTGAACCTCTTAACCACTGCTAGAGAGTAGCCTTTACTCTTGAGGTCACCTAACTTGGCAAGTCAGTGAGTTAATGGGTCTGAAAAGATTATCCTAGACCAAAATTGATGTAAACATTCTCCTTTCAATGTAGAACGTATGGGCTTGCATGCCTTTCATCTTTAACTGCACATTCCAGATGTTTGCTTCTTTCCTCTCATCGTATATACACGATGGGATAGATAATGTACTGAGTTGAGATTTATGTCTAAGGCATGATGTGTTTGTACTCTACTTCATTACACCTTCTTTTTGCCTTTTATTTGGGAAAGGAGAAATACCTTAAAAGCCTTTTTTAAAATTCAGGTTTGATTTGTTTATTCAGTGCTTTCCAAAAGCAATCTGGTTGGAGTTCCTCATCCCCTCTATTTCCTCTGCTGTTCCCCTGCAATATATCTCCTTTCAGTTTAGAGTGACTCTATGACTTAGTTGCTTTGAAAAAGCTCCAGAAGACAGATCTCAAAATTTGCTTTGGAAAGGTCCATATTAAAAAAAAAAGTAACTAAACAAATAAATAAATAAATATCATAAAGATAAAACCAGATTTTTAGCTTGCTTTATTTTGACAATCAAATGTTAATTTCTAATTTTTCTCCAGGTGATGCACTAATATATATTCATTATTTAAGATTATAGGAAAACAACCTAAAATTACGCTGGGTGTTTCAGTTTTTATCTTTCACTGAATGTCAGCAGCCCTTAATTGCTAAACACTAATAAAAAAATAATTTTCTTTTTTGGGTTCAATCTGGATGACTCTTAAGACTGAACTACTGTTAACTTCTCTGCTATATAGACTTTTTGTTTGTTTGTTTGTTTTTTCGTCATCCAAATGTCATTTATTTTTCCCAAACAGGGATTTTAGGTCTATTAATAAAAGTCAGAATCTGCAGACCACAGTTATTCCTACTTTTTCCTGTTTTTCCAATGTTCTTTATTTCACTGTGTGTCAATCCAGAATAGATTCCTTTTTTCTCAATTCAAGGACTATACAAACACACTTGATGCAAAATCAAAATATATGCTCAAGTACCAAGAAAAGACATTTTAAGAAAAAGGAGCTGGTTTTGAACTAGGATAACATTGCCATCTGGAAAAAATTTGAGATTATTTCACTCAATAATTAGATATATTGTGTATATATATGTGTATATATATTGTGTGTATATATATATATATATATATATATATATATATATATACATATTTTGGGCTTTTATGATATCCTTTCACCAAGATGTGGGGTATGATTGCATGCTTCCACTTTTTATACTTCTATACTTTATTTAAAAGATAAATCACCTTTATCATGTGATAAATTTATGTATCTGTACATGACTGCATAATATTTTTCCAATTGTTTTAACAGATTTGACCAGCTAAAACATGGAATTGATTTTTTTTTCTCATAATTTCTAAACTTGTCACAAACTTATAGATCACCTTCCAATTATTAACATCCCCTTTGGTCAGACTGTAGGAATTATGTAAATTATCTCCAGTGAAAGAAGGAAATTAATAATAAATAAACCATCCAGCTGAAAGAAATTGATTATTTGTTTTCTCTTGTCAGTTTGCTAAGTGTTTACCATGAATTCAGAAATCACTCTCAACAAATTTACTGTATGGATCTTGGGTTCTTGGAGCTGTGTTTTTGGAAAGCTGGAATTTGTGTCTGTTACACTGTTGTGTATGAAAGCATAAATTAAGATTATTTAAAAGAAGGCAGTCGGCAACTGAGATTGTCTATAGAGTAATTCTCTCCCATTAATATCTTTAATTGTTCTTGTACCTAATTTGTATGGCTAATTAATTAAGGGCTGTTTAATCCAGCTCTTAGTAGCTTCTTACTCGTCTGCATGAGCCTTCTGTAAAAACAGACAAGCTTTAGCTGTGGTGCTTTATAGTCCCTTGACACACAAGTTAGGTTTGTAAGGCCCAGGAAACCCCTCCACTCCCTGGTGTCACTTCCATCTGTGGTATGGGGTCATTCTGCTGTCCTGAGGAAAGAGCTGATGGTGAAAAAATAGTGAACCACTTTAGCAAGTATAAACTCCTGTGAAATTTTCTCTTGTATTTGCTGTTTTCCATCACAGTGTAGGTATATTGTCTACTGGTGCTCTTTAACGCTTTACTTTCCCATTCTAAATATAATAAATTAATATTATGTTAAGGTAATAAATATAATATTACATTGCAATAAAACCAGTTTTAAAGTTTTTCTGTACACAGCTAAAATACTGAAACTGGAATTATGCTAAGGAATAGAGATGGTGTTCTCTTGTTGATACTTACACTTTAAGGATATTTGTTTATGTGATATGAGATTTAATATTGTGGAGAATGTCTGCAAGTCTTCAATGAGAAAAAATGAAAAGTCATATTTTGCAGATTTTAATTTTCTGTAGTTGACTGAAAGGTGAAAGCATGTTTTCTCTTGCTTTGCACTGATGTATTTCATTCTGGTTTTAAAACTAAAAATTCTACTTTTGGTCCTCTCTATAACAATTTTTATATCAACTTGCTTACAACATGTGAAACATAAAATCACTGTTGCAGGCATGCATTTGGTTTTTACATTATGATATAATCTGTTTCTTTGTCTTTCAAAAATCTAAATCAGCTTTTCCTTTCTTCTGTGACAGGATGACAAGGACTTGGTTCATGAGTTTGTTGTTGCTGAAGGTCTGACTTGCTTAATCAAAGTGGGAGCAGAAGCCGACCAGAATTATCAGAACTACATCCTGAGAGGTAAAGGAAATGCATCCAAAAGCTGTTTTTATTGCTTGGAAGCTCTCGCAGGTCTGCAGCAACTTGCTGTGTAAAGTGTGTTTGAACTTGCTTCTAAGTTTGGTCCTGATTCCTTTCATGTTATGCAAAAAAGTTAAGGAAGATTAATTCTCACCACAGAGCAAAATGAATTGGAATATTTGGAAACATGATAGTATCCCCATTGTTCACCTTTTCTTGTAGGTTACACTGCAATTCTCTAATTCTAAGAAAGAAAAGTCATTCTAAAACCTTTACTGGATAACTGTCTCAGAGGGCACAGAACAAAATAACTTCTTGGAGTATGATCATCATTTACAAAGGAGCTGCTGCAAGCAGGTTGGATGTAGCAGGAGTAGTTCTGAGAGCTGTGTTTCTCTTTTTCTTGCAGTGATGGGTGGCTGTTGACCTGTCAAGCAGCATGGAGGGTTTTCTCCATGCTGCTAAAACAGTTGAAAAGTACCAGGGAAACAGAGAGTGGCAGCACCCAGTCTGCTCTACTACATGTTGGGAGATGTATTTTCTTATTTCTTATTTATTTTCTTTCTGTTGTGGTGCAGCAGAATGCAGCATCATTGGTATCTGTGGATATCACTCAGTATTTATGGAATAAACCAGGAGAAATAAATACCTTGAGGGGTCAGTTGGCTGGAAACAATTTTAAGCTATCTGGCATTTTGGAGCTAAACAGGTAATGAGAGGTTTGTGTTCTGTTCTTTGTACTTAAAAGATAACTGGCAAAGATAGGGTTTGGAGAGGGATTTGGAAAAGGTGTGCTATGTGATTAGAAAGTTGATTTCATCTATTGTGGCCCAAATGGGTGCATGCGTTTTACTTCTAGCCAGGGAACCTAGACTGTAAATTTGGAGAGTTTCTTCAGTATTTTGAGAGGAGGCCAGTCACTCCAAGGGATCTTTGCTGCTGGATGATCTCATAGTAAATGGAGACTGCTTACGAAGGCATAGTTGTGGTAGATTGCTCATTTGAGTTTTCTCAGACTGACGTATATAGCTGTATTTAAAAATGTCATTTTAATGTATTTAACTGCTAAAACTCAAACTACACATTGAAGGGAAAAAAAAAAAGACCAACAAAAATAAGTAGAAGGTTTTTGTAAGAGCCAGATATGCTGAATTATGGAAAGCAAGGATTCAAATCGAAAGTGGAGTTTCATGCAAAGACGAAGACATTGAAGATAAGACCAGATTTGGCGGTGTAAAAGAAACAAACCATTACTACAGGAATTATGTTCTATGTCAGTAGCTACGCAGTCACATAAATGTACTTGAACAGAAGACAAGGACACAGAAGCATGTTCAATTAAAAGCTTCTGGGAGAAAACTGGCCATATATGATCTCAGAAAATTCAGACTGGAAGCAAAATAAAAGTGCTGTATGGGACAGTCTGGCCCTCAGTCTAGGAGCCTCCCGATTCTCCTTCCCTTCCCATACCCTAATACATGCAGCATTCAAGGAGATCTAATGGTCTCTTTCTTGTGGTGGTTTTCAAGAGCTTGGTTTCCATGATCTAAAATGAGAAATTTTCATGAGAATTCAATGAATGATAGAACAGAGACTTAGTGTCAATGCCCATGCCATCATACAAATGCAACCGCAAACTCATCTTGTTACATTGTTATTAACAAGTGATTATAGCTCATTCAACATGATTATAACAAAACAACATTAACAATAACAATAACAAAAACTAACTACATAGAAGTATGCCATAAAGGTGAAAACATTATTTTAGGAAGATATCTTTAAGGATTGGTAACTTCTGAAAATCAGGTATTGTTTTTTCCCTACATTGCTGCTGTGTGAACCTGAAGTTTCTCTCTGGGTAGTGTATCCTAGCATCCTTCATAATAGGTCTGTGTGATGTGGGCTTCATTTTAGTTTTGGTCTTGATTGTCTTTCAGGAATTTCAAAGCTTGTTACAACTCCAAAATTATGTCAGGTGGTTTGCAGTTCCAGGAGGCAGCATGTACTTTCTGAATAGGTCTGCATGTGCAATGAGATAAAGATAGATTTGGAAGTATGGTATAGCCAAACAATCTTATGTGAATACATTGAGGAAGGTGCTGAAAAGAAGCATTAAATACATCATGTAAGAGTGCTTCTGGTATATTATTTTTGGAAGATCATAGTGATTGGTTAGGTTGTTTTGTTGTTTTGGGTTTTTTTGGGTTTTTTTGTGGCAGTTTTGTGTATCTATTTCAGTGCTGCATTTTACTAAACCCGGAGTACTGGTAAATAGGTTAATAAATTTTACTGAAGGTACGTCACAATTAGCACGGAGGTGGTCCTGTAACTCTAAGCTTAGTGTTAAATAGTGGAGATTTGAGAAGTAAAAAGTAGTCTTTTTTTAGAGATTTTGTGCCTTCCTGCTGTGGTGTCCTTGCTGTTCTGCAGATCATTTTGGATTGGAATATTCTTCTTATATATATTGCATTTAACCTAAATCATAAATAGATGGGGTTTCTCCTAAGTTCCATATTCTGGCATTTCTCCAGCATCTTTGGTGTCATTCATTTGTTTCCTCTGGCAATTCTAGCTCAGCTTGCAGGGCTTGTGAGAGTAAGTGACAGCCTTAGGCATGGCATTGCCTCCTTTACTTCAAGGACTCACCTACATGAGACTGTCCATGATCTTGACTGAGCAATTTCCCAGTGTTTCATATCAACTTGTTTGCCTGTGCTCATCAAGAAATAGCTTTGAACCTTGGAGGGAAAATAGGCTGGAAATACACATATGCTTAAGGGCTGTAGGTGCTTCAGTGAATTCCAGGTACAAGTTGTTTCTTGAGGATATTATTTTCCTTTTTGCAAAAGTCTGCATTGTTTCACTTTAATGTTTCCTGGCTGTGAATTTCTGCTTAGGAGCTTTGACTTGGTTCAAGTCAGACTGAGCAGCCAAAAAATTATTAAATATGAGTCATGACAATTTTAGTTACTTTAACGGATAAGTGGAGAGAAGGTAAATGTGGCTTTTACATACAATGCTGAGAAATCCAGATAGTTTATTGTTGATTGCTAAGGAATGACTGTTTATTCTGCTCAGGTCCCCTGAACTAGGGCTGTTTGATTGTACCTTTCCCAAAATGTTCCCTTCTGTCAGCATATAACCTATAGACTGGAAGCCAACAGTAGCCAGGGCTTCCCTTGAGGGTTACTTTTTAAAAAGACTAGCTTAGAAAACAGCTTTTGATCCTCCTTATTTAACAGTTCTTAAAATTAAATTTACTCTCCAGTGTTCCTTTTAATTATTATGGACATCTAAAGAAACCATGTTTTGAGGGACATTCCCTCCACCATGGAAACAGGCTTATTTTCCTTTTGTTATTTCCTCCATCTTCCTTTTTTTTCCACAAGGATCCATAAGGATGAAGAACTTCACTGATAACACTGAAGTTAAAATTTCCTGTCCCAATTACAAGATTTTGGTACGTTGGATGTTACCTAAATATTCAAAAACAGATAGGAATGGGTTAAAGGTAATGAAAATAAACATAACTGATGAGGATTAATAAAAATCTTACTGTAATTTTGAAGATTCTTTGGATATAATTTTGGGATCATCTGTTCCTTGCACAGAATGAGAAAGCAACTCAAAAAATGCCACGGTAGCCTTCATGTTTTCTGATAATTTAGACAGTGCTGTTGGGAAGGTGAGGGAAAAAAGCAGCTTGTGTAGATCAAGGCTTAATTCTTTTAAAGATATACTGAATAAATAATCTGTGATGTTCAGGGATGACTTTGCTGGCCCTGTGATGTGAGGAGTTCTGCCTGGTGGGTCCTATGCTGTCTGTCCCTCAGATCAAATGAGAAAGTTGTCAAAAGGTCATCCAGCCTTGTTTGTAGAGTCTAATTGTGTACTTGGGTCCATTTTTGGCTGCTTATGGATTCAGATCAGTATTTAGAGGTGTCCATAATTAGATGAAAGCTAAATACTGTTCTTGTGGTCTGAGAGCACAAACCAAGTGTTCAGTCTGAGCAGGCAAACGCCTTGACTTTGCTGCAAGGTCTATGTAGCTAAGGCTGAGGAAAAAATAGGACAGGAGTCATACTAGACTAATCATACAGTGCTCATACTAGACTATGCTTGAATCAAATTCAGCTTTTGGATGCAGCTCTCTGATTTAGTGAGAGCTGTGTGCATATATGGAGAATAAGAATTTGAGTGTCAAGTCTGAATGAGAAATGGTTTCAATTTTGTTTGGCAGTTTTGAATTTCTAGTGTAGGGGTTTTTTTAAAAGAAGAAATAAAGAAAAGTACTTGGAGGAGCCCAGGAGTTATGATTGGAGGTAATATTTGTGCTTTAAGTTAACTCTCCCGTAAATGCCTAAGCCATTACTATAATCTAAAATTAAAGATAATTAGACTCGTAAAATCATTTAGGTTGAAAAAGGCCCTTAACATCATCAAGTTCAACCATTAACCTAACACTGCCAAAACCACCATGAAACCATGCCCCTAGGCACCATGTCTGCACATCCTTTAAGTATCTCCAAGGACAATATAGTCAAAACTTCAGTAATTTAGACTTAATTAAATAATCTGGGTGGAACACTGGGTTGCAGTAGAGCATTTTCCTGTCACAGACCCTCTGCACTTCTGATAAAGTGCTGAAGTCCTGTGTGTTTCTACAGATATTTGTGCAAGTGGAGAAGATAATGATAATGGTCCTGGGTAAGGGATATGACATACTCTGAAGGACAGTGACATACCATTTAAGAGGATTAAAGTTTGATAAGTTCATGCACAAAGTCAACAGTATCTTCAGTCTGATAGAATAGCATCTTTATTATTATTATGCCCTACAATTTTTTCCTTATAAATAGTAAATGCAGTTTGTTTTAGAATTGCATTTGTACAAGCATGCTTTTATCTTCATGCAGATTGAATGAGTATATAATAATGCTCCTTTTTTTTTCTTGCTGGTTTTGCAAGACCTTTCAGGACTTTCAAGTAATTTTATG